GTAAAGATTGTCTCGCGCGGAGAGACAGTAAAGTCTGTCTCGCGGGCGAGACAGTAAAGACTGTCTTTTTTCTTTGATTTTTCGATGATCTCCTCTTGAGCTGTATTTGGATATCTATTAGCATTTTTTGACGCCTACAGGGGATTGTTGCTTGTTTACCCCCTATCTGCTGGGTTTGCTGCTATTTTGTTAAGAGCTTGTGTAGCTCCTTGCTGCTGGGTGTGTTGCTGTTTTGTTTTTCCGAGCCTGTGGGTTACTTGCTGTTTAGTTTTGAGCTTGTGCAACTCCTTGCACTTGATATGTGGCAATGATGATGATCAGCGTTTACTGAGAATACAATCTAACTTACATCGTTTATTATATCCAGATGAGGCAAAAGGGGATGAGATTGCAGCCAACATTGAATTAACAATGTCTAGGCGAGGCAATTCATCCTTATAATGCAATCTGTAATAAACATGTAAGTTATAGGTGGGGCAATCAATTATGACAAGTTGATCTATTACTGAGCCATACAATATCAATTAGAATTTGTACCCAATTCAAACAACAATTTTCATTACATCCTCAATAGTTTTTGCAATTACAGGTACATGACATGAAGTTTGTAATAATTAAAATAACACAAAAAATTGCTAAGAAAATTGCAGAAATTTTCTAAGCTAGTAGTTGATTTTCGACAAGTCTCAATTCTTTTTTCAGCTTCTTTGATTGCAAAATATATTTATCTCCGTACCTATTTTCTTTGACATATTGGCTTCCTTGGGTGCTTGATGACTCTCCTCTTTCTTCAGCCCATTCGAAAAAATTGCATTCTTTATTTGGGAATTTTGCACACCCCCAATAACACCTACCCTTATTTTTACCATTCTTGCACACTTTCATCGGTGTTCGGAGATTACAGTCACAATAAACTTCATAATTCTGCCAGCACTCTTCTGATATCATCCTTGATGTCGGGGCAGCAAATTGAAGACAATGGAAATTTTATTATTGCTAAAAAATGAGAATGCTTGGATTATTTTTGAGGCCTCAAGGTGAATTTATAGCCACCATGCCCCTGAACTAGCCGTTGCTACAGTGTTTTGCCTAAGAATATTGAAATCTGAATTTTGAGATCTGGAAATAGCCGTTGCTACAGTGTTTATTGCTTGAAATCTGAATTTTGTGGCTTCAATCCGTTGCTACAGTGATTTTTAAATGTAAATTGGGCTAGCCGTTGCTACAGTATCGATCCCAAGAAAAATGGTCTTCTTGAACCAAACATGGTATTAGGAATTGGACCAATTCTATAAAAGTGAGATTACTAATCCTTTGGGTGAAACAAACATTGAATGCCAAAAAAAAGGGATTCCATAAAACTAAAACTTGTCCATAAATTTTTTATGGATTAGATTAGAATCCATAAATTAAATAGGATTCCTAATCCTATTCCTAGCTCTTGGTAAAACAAACAGGCCCTTAGTAGAGGCATATGCCAAAAAAAAAAAAAAACTACAGCGGTTCACGTGTTTCTGATAAGCACAAGATACAACATGAATCCTACCAGTATTTTAAAGCGCATATTCTTTTTGCTGAGGACACCCAAGCCGTCACCTGCAAATTGACAGAGTACGAATCTACAAAAAAGATATCAACATCTATTTTGTACTACAAAATCTTCGACCGCTCCCAATAACATTGTTTGCTTTATCTATTTTTTTCATGTCCATTTCCTTCCCTTATTATCTTGGCTGCGTAGCCATCTTGGGAGAGAACAAATAATGGTCAATAGGGGTGAGCACTAATCAGTGCAAAGCCAAAAGATAGTTTATGCTGTCAAAACAGGAATATAATAATATAAAAAATAAATTAAAGAGTTAGAAAATTCAGGTCTGATCGGGAGCAGTCGTGATGTCACTGTCCTAGAAGATTAAGGACTCGCCTATCGCCCTGGCGTAATTTGTCCCCTCTCCCCTAGCGGTAAAAACCCCCGGAATCGGCCGGCCTCTGCACTCGGACGTGAGTCACAGAGCTTATGCTCAGACGAAAACGGTTGCCCAAAAATAGAAATATAAATATGTAGCCGAAATTTCTTGGAGAAATGAGAGTAGAGAAAGAAGAGAGCTTAGAAGTTCTTCTCTTCGTTGGTGTGCTTCTGAATGAGCTCCAAGCCTGCTTATATAGGTGAGGAGAGGTGTAACCCCCGCTGAATCCAAGGGACCGTTACGCACAAATCTTGCTTCCGTTACCCGCATGCAGCCGTTACAGAACGTGTAAAACGTGCAAAAATAAAACATTGAGAAGCAAAATTGCGGTGCGGTGCGGCGTGGCGCGCGCGGGCGAGGCGTGGCGCGCGTGCGGGCGAGGTGTGCGTGCGTGTGGTAGATATGCAAAGCCCACAAAACCTAAAACACTATTCAAAGCCCAATAAGTAGAGAACCATTATATACCCTATACTATTCATCTCATTTTTCAATGTGGAACTATTCACAAAAGCAAAATTGCCTTTTCATGAACAAAGCATCCAACAGTTTATACTAATATTTTTATGTATTTTAATTGATAAAGGTCGATTTTAGTTTGTAAAGTAGCTGATTTAATGTATTTGTTTTTCAACTTGGGATATAAAGATTAGTGAGAGTTTTGAAGGAGTAAGAGTGTTATATTTTAGCTAAATTTCTATAACTTGACATGTCTATGATCAAATGGATCAAACCGAACTGAATCGCACCGAACTGATTTGATTAGTTTGGTTCTGTTTTGTATCTAGTTTAACTTTAGTTCGGTAGAGAAAATAGTCAAAACTGACCAAATGGATCGTTTGTTCACCCCTAATGGTTACCATTTGACTCATTTCTTGTCCACAAGTTGATGTTGCTTGCTATATGCTTGTCAGTTGAATTGAACGAAACGAATGTGATTGAATGAAAATTAAGATTTTTATAATTGATCCCAAAATGTTGAAATAAAAATTTATTGGTGGTGCTGTAAGTTTTTTGACGTCTCTTTGATAAAGAACATAATTGTCACGCATTTACACATTTGGTGGTAAAAGTCATATGTTAGTAATAAAATTTCAATGATATAATTTCACATTATTCTTACTTCAAATGACGGGGTTAAAGTTTGATTAGAAAAGATCCACGTGCAAAGTTTGCGATTCCCTTTTTGTAAAAATGCGTAAAATGCGGTCAGCACCTTGAAGTCTTAAGTTAATTACACTTAATCTTACAAGAAAAATTAGAGATGCTACTCTCACCATTAACTAATCCTCAAAAGAATCCAGTTTTTGACCGAATCTGATCACAATTTTCACCTGCTCTTGTACATTTCTCATCATCGCTCGTCACTGTTAAAAAATAAATTAATTGTGTCATCTTCCCTCTAATTATGCGTAATGTACAACCTTCTATGGTATTATGTTAATTTGTCATATTGTCATTGCTTGCTCCTCAGCATTTGGAATGAGTGGAACAAGAGAGAATAAATTCAAAGATGCGGGCACTCTTTGTTGATTGATTGTACTGTCATCTTCCTTTTTTGTATGAGAACATCACCTTACACTTGAGTTTCAACTCTGAACAGCGTGACACCTCGATTCAACAAATGATATTAGTCTTTTTCCTCTTCTAGCATTTCACCTTATTTTATCCCTTTTGTCTCTTATTTTTCATGTATATTTTGTTCTAATTCTCTACTTAATAAATTTCCTGGCCATGTTGCTCCAGTTTCTTAACATAAATAAATAAGTAAATCATAGCATAGCGATTACTTATACCTTGATCTTTTGACTGTTCAAGTTATCATATCAGCTTAAGAATTTCTCAACTATAATATTGAATATCATGTAATAAGTGTTCACAAAGCAGTTTCGCTTTTTTGTGTCAAACAAGCATATAGTGCGCAACAAGGCCCCCAATTTCAGTATGAGCCTCCACCAACTCGGCCCACTAGTGCATGACGGACGAAGCCGCAAATTGCCGACAATTACCAAAAAAGACCCCAACTTCCAGCAAAAATTACTGGAAAATTATTACCGCGGTAAATTACCTACGCATTGAGAAAAGTTACTACCGCGGTAACTAGTGCATGGCGGTCAAAACCCTGGATTCTCATAACCCTAACCCCGAATTCACCAATGAGTTCGCTTCGATCGGCGCTGCTTCTTCTCTCGATCTCCGTCTTCTTCGCCTCCGACGATTTCATGGCCGTTCCCTCTTGCAAGATCTCTGGTTCAGAGGGGAAAGATTCGAGAAAGAGGAATCCCGGTGATTTGGCGGTGATGTTCGTTGCCGATCTCACGCTGAAGGGATCCGATGCGAGTTTCGTCGATCGCCATTTCAGGGATTTCTGTGTTTCCCAAGTTCTCAAAGGTGCGATCTTTTTGAGAACTCGTATTGAATTAGGGGCTAATTTTTTGAAAATTACGGTGATTCATATATCTCATTATCGTTGCTGTTCACTCAAACTTCAAATTTAGCGGGTTGCGGTGCTTTTCAAAAATAGTAACATCAGTTTCCTTTCTCTTAACGGCATTGCATTACTTTGTGGAAATAATGATCTTCGATTTGGTGGTTGAGAGAAGGTACGTAATAGAGAGCGAACATCTTGATCTAAAAAT